CCATGGCATCACGCTCACAGCAACCTCCAACTCCTGGGCTCAAGTGAGTCTCCTGCCTCAGCCTCCCAAGCAGCTGGGACTACAGGCGCCCACGACAACGCCTGGCCATTTTTTGGTTGCAGCCATTATTGTTGTTTGGCGGGCCCGGGCTGGGGATTCGAACCTGCCACCTTAGGTATATGTGGCTGGCGCCTTAGCCGCTTGAGCCTCAGGCGCCGAGGCTCTAGTCTCTTTTTTAATGAATTTACTTACATATGTATGCTTTTTTAAAATCCAAATGAAACTATATGACATAATAATTGCTTAATTTATTTATTTATTGAGACAGAGTCTCACTTTTTCACCCTCAGTAGAGTGCCATCACAAGTCACAGCAATCTCAAACTCTTGGGTTCAAAAAACTTTCAGTTAGAAGAATAATTGGGCAGCGCCTGTGGCTCAGTGTGTAGGGCACCAGCCCTATATACTGAGGGTGGCGGGCTCAAACCCGGCCCCAGCCAAACCACAACAAAAAAATAGCTGGGTGTTGTGGCGGACGCCTGTGGTGCCAGCTACTCGGGAGGGTGAGGCAAGAGAATTGCCTAAGCCCAGGAGTTGGAGATTGCTGTGAGCTGTGATGCCACGACACTCTACCAAGGGTGATAAAGTGAGACTCTGTCTCTGAAAAAAAACAAAACGAAACAAAACTCTTGGGCTCAAGCGATTCTCTTGCCACAGCCTCTTAAGTAGCTGAGACTACAGGCACCTACCACAATGCCTGGCTATTTTTTAGAGACAGGGTCTTGCTCTGGCTCAGGCTGGTCTCGAAACTGTAAGCTCAGCAATCCACCCTCTTTGGCCTTCCAAAGTGTTGGGATTACAGGCAATCTACTTGCCCAGCCCTGTTGCTGCTTTTATTTAATGATACCATATCATCATTTATCTGAGTCATTTAAAAATTCTTTTTTTTTTTCGATATAGAGCCTCACTTTGTTAGTCTGGGTAGAGTGCCATGGTATCATAGGTCACAGCAACCTTGAACTCTTGGCCTCAAGAGATCCTCTGCCTCATTTTTTCATTTTTAGTACAGACAGGGTCTCACTCTTACTCTGGCTGGTTTTGAACTCATGAGCTTAAGTAATCTGCTGGCGTCAGCCTCCCAGAGTGCTAGGATTATAAGTGTGAGACAATTTAAAAATTCCTGTAGGCCAGGCACTATGGCTCACCCCTGTAATACCAGCACTCTAGAAGGCAGAGGTGGGAGAATCGCTTAAGCTCAGGAGTTTGAGACCAGCCTGAGCAAGAGTGAGAATTTGTCTTTACTAAATGGAGAAAAATTAGGTGGGCGTTGTGCTGCCTATAGTCAGTCTCAGCTATTTGGGAGACTGAGGCAGGAAGATCACTTAAACCCAGGAATCTGAGGTTGCTGTGAGTTAGGCTAACGCCATGGCACTCTAGCCTGGGCAACAGAGTAAGACTTAGTCTCAACAATTAATAAATAGGCTTGGCACATGTAGGTAAGTGGTTAAGGCACCAGCTTGTTAATCATTCAAAGGTTGGTTGGTTTCCCAGTATTTTAGATTAGAAAATAATTACCTGGCTCAGCACCTGTGGCTCAAGTGGCTAAGGCGCCAGCCACATACACCTAAGTTGGCAGGTTCGAATCCAGCCTGGGCCTGCCAAAACAACAATGACGGCTGCAACTAAAAAATAGCTGGGCATTGTGGCGGGC